CTCGAACCCACGAACCGCGAGATCACGACCTGAGCCGAAGTCGGTCACCCGACCGACTGAGCCCCCCAGGCGCCCCGTGGAACCTGTATTCTTTAAAGGCGGCCGACCGAGCTGACTGGACACTGTAGTGAACACTCACCTTCGTGATCTTTCCCCCACTGAAGTTGGCAAAGCGTTTGAGGGAGAGGGTTAAGACGTTGGACGTTCTGTGGATGGTGAAGCGCTTGCTGGCCGGAACCTTCTTCTTGCATCTGTGAGGGGCGGCAGGTGGAAAAGGTGATCAGTTCGTGCTCTGCGTCCCTAGATCCGAATCCCCGTGACTTAAATGAAGGAACGCTACCACAGGGACCTGGGGCCGCCGAAGAGCTGGAGACTATAAAGTCTTCAGGAAGCACCTGCCCACACAGGGAGGCAACTCCACACACACAGGAAGGAGCGAGCTGGAGCGGGTGTGGCCCAGTAATGCAGCGCGGGCGGGAAATCACTGAGCGTGAAGCCGGAAGACCAGGGGATGAGGGGCGAGAAGATGAAGGAAAGCAAACAGCTTTCAGGGCACAGGGAGGCCGATTCGGAGAGAGGAAGGAAGGGGAGGAATAATGAATCTGAAAAGCATCAAGAAAAATATTCTTGGTGGGGGGGTGGGGACGCCTGGGTGCCTCAGTCGGTCAAGCATCCAACTAGGTCACGATCCCGTGGTTTGTGAGTTCGAGCCCCACGTTGGGCTCTGCAATGACAGTGTGGAGCCTGCTTGGGATATATTCTCTCTTTCTCTCTCAAAGTAAATAAAAAAAGAAAAAGAATCTTCAGCGACTATAGCTTCTGAAGGAGCTAATACAAAGCACAACGCCCAGGCAGTAAAACCCACGTGACCCTTAGCAGAACGAGGTCACAGTTACGTCTGCCGTGGCTGATGGAGGCCACAGAAGGCAGCTCGTCCAAGAGGCGGGACGGCAGAGGGCCACGTGGGGTCACCTTGCCGCTCTGTGTCGCCAGGGGACCTGCTTCCCGGGTGAGGAGCGCTCAGAACAGGGGCTGGCGCATCCTAAGTGCGACGCAAACCAACACCAGCTGCAAAACCGTGGCCACTCCATCTGCATCGTGAAGAGGTTTTAGTCTTAAGATCTATATATCCTCCTCAAGAAATGTGAGTGGCGGTCACCTCTGGGGAGGGGCGGGGATGGCCGCAGGGCCGGGTCAGGCGGCCGGAGGTCCTCCCCGATGGCTCGCTCTCTGCCGTGAGCAAAACGGAACTTACTTTGCACACATATAGGCGTTCTCTCCACTCAGGACATCTGGCTTCACAAAAAGCTCCAGAGCGCGCACGATATTAGCGGCTTGCTGAGAAGGACAAAAACGGGGAAATGAATCAGCAGCAGAAGAAAAAGGCTGACTCGAGAAACGCCAAACGTAAGGTCTTTTTCAGGCTGAGGCAGCAAATCACAACAACCCACTTGCATCCAAAATGGCCTGCCCCCTGCCACCTTCTGACACCCAGGATGTGCTGCAGAGGAGTGGGGCCGGGGGCGGGAGGGGAGGTGGGGGAGGGGGCCAAGGCAGACCGTGACCCCGGCCACACAGGTCAGGGCAGCTACCGCACGACTCCCAGGCGCGCCGGCCCCACACCCTGGGCGCAGGTGACCCGGCCCCGGCTGCAGCACCAGAAGGCCGGAGCGAGACGAGGCTGCTCTCCCGAAGGCCCGCCTGCCAGCGGCTCCCTGCCCAAGTCCTGCACGTACCGTGGCTCACCCCTCATGCCTCGGGGACACAAAGCCACGTTTCATCTTGTTTTAAACGAAAGCGACGCACACAGGGAAAAGGCCAGCAGCCATCGTGCAAAAACGGCGGCCCCTACTTCAAGGCGGTGACGCTGCTGGCATTTCTTTCCCTGCCTGCCTGGGTGATTCGCCATCCCTGCTTCCCGGCCCTCCCCCGCCTCCCCGGCCTCCGGCAAACGTGACCCAGCACAGCCGGCCGTGGTCCTTACCCGGATCTCCAGCGCTACGTCCAAGTAGGGGTCGTACGTGTCTGAGACGCTTTTGCACACCGAGCATTTCACTGCAACGGAACAAGCGGCAGTGGGCGGGGGCGGGCGCCCCCAGCGCGCCACCCCCACGTCTCCAACACCCAGCGCCGGGAGAAGCCCTCGGCCGCCGGCCCCTCGAGAACCCGCCCGCGTGCGCCGCCAGCCCATCGATGGCCTCCGTCCCAGACCGTGGCCTCGGCGGGCCCCAGGCCCCAGCGGCAGGGCAGAGGCCGCGTGTGAGGAGCTCAGGGGCTCAGAAAGAATAACGCCACCCTCGTCTCCACGTGCCCGAGGCTCTGCTCCAGACCTCCTCCGGGAACAGCGGGCCCGTCGGCCAAGGGTGCATCTCAGAGGAGACCGGGGCCTCCGAGGCTCGCCCAGGTCCGCCCGCCAGGAAAGGGCCCCACCTGGGCGCGGACTCTCAGCCTTCCCTGATTGACATCCTCCTCCCTGACAAGGGTGTAGAGAAAGCGTCTTCACCTACCACGCGATCTGAGATAGCCTCCAAAAATCTGATGGACCAGGGTGGTTGCCTGCGTCTGACGATCCAACCTGGAAAGGAGGCCACAGCCTTCAAGGGAATGACAGTTAGCAGCCCCCGCCTGAGTCACCCCGGCCCAGCGCGCCGGGGGGGAAACCCCACCACACGGCCCGTGACCCCACCACGCGGGCACGCTCACCCTGCCCCTCAGCGGGTCCCCGGCCGCTCCCCACATCAGCTGCCTCAAGAACCCCCTCCCGACCCCCCACCCTTGACGGGAAATAAGAGGCCGGGGAAACGCGCCCGTGTGCCCACCCAGTCTACGACAGAAGTGCCCCATCCCTCTGGAAACCACCCCCGCCCCTGTCCGACCCCTGGCTGTCCTCTGTCCGAGCCTCTTACCTGCTAAGAGGGGGAGTCAGCAGGGACACCCTCCCCCGCGCCCTCTCAGCAGGACAACGGCGGTCATGGGTCACGGTCAAATCCCCGGCCCCATTAACCAACCAGGATCCAAGACAACCCTCAGCCTCCCACCGAGCTGCCAAGTGGAGCCACGGGAGCCCTCGCGAGCACGCTCCCCTCCCCTGCACCCCCAGCCCTGCGGATGCCTCCCCCCGCCACCTCTACACACGCCCCACGGCGCCCTGCCCTGGCCCCTTCTCTGCCTCAGCGTGCGGGCGGCCCCGACCCGGGGAGCTCGCTGAGACGCGCAAGTCTACACCACGGGGACCGATACAAGGGCACGTTTTCACCTTGAAGACTTAGGAAATGAAAACCAAACACCGCCACGTATCAGCACCACCATTCGCCGAAAGGAGGGATGTTTTAACTCCCCGGACCGTGGAGGACATAATCCCAGCACACGCCGGAAGCGTGTGGGAAGCCACATGTGACGGCAGCTGTGGAGACCCAGGTGGCCCCAAGCCAGCCAGGAGCCTGTCCCAACAGGGGCAAAGCACCGCACGGAACCCGCCGTCCGTCCGGCCCGAGGCAGAGCCAGCTCAAGCTTCACACTAGCCCCAGGCAGGAGAAAACCCAATTCCAGAGAGCCAACTGCAACACGTCTGAAGGGTGGTCTGGAGAAGCCTGAGTCCTAGAGGCAGCCGGGAATCGCCTGGAGTCCCCGCAGGAAGGGGAGCCCGCGGGAGAGCGAGGCTCGGGGCGCCTGCCCCCAGAGTGACTGGGGAGGTGACGGTGGGGAAGGGCGAGCGGAGCACAGGAGAGGACACAGGGTCCTGAGACACACACACGCCACAGGCCGTCCAGCCTGTGGCGCCCAGGACAGAAGGTGCGCTCACGGCACCCTGGATTGAGAACCACAGGAGCCACCAGGCGTAGGAGCTGCGCCCAAGCGGCCCCAGTCCTGCGCGGCACCGTCGGGACAGAGCAGTGAACGAGAGAGCCACCTCGTCCGGTGGAGACGAGCCCCCAGAAAGCACACACAAGGCAGGAGACAAAATCCCAAGCGGAAGTAAAGATCCGCACGCAAGCATTTGGGGAGAGGAAAACCATCGTAAGAAGTTTCAGAACCAAGAACAGAAAAGAGCAAACGGAGAAAGTTAACCGATACGGGGGAAAAAACAGGAAATCGGGTCGGAAACGAAGCTGGAATCACGTGGGGCCCGAAGGAGACGAGATTCAAGTGAACTCGGGGGAGGGGCGCGACAAGGCGGGAACGTGTCCGGAGGAGCGGTCGAGGTGAAGAAAAGGCCGCCAGACAGAGGGGGTCCTGCGGGGGAGACCCCGACCAAGGAAGATGTGACAGGGAGGCCTTTAACACGCACCTGCCCTGAGATGGGGGTGGGGCGCTGCCCCAGACCGGGCGGAGATGCCCCGGCGCCCGGACCGGGAGACCCCACGTCTGGGGGCACGGCACCCGCCTAAGTGATCACTGCACGTTTTCAAGCCCAGACACTCAGAACTGAGCCGATTCAAAAGTGTGGTTCGGACACCACGGGCCCGCTGAGTAAGGCGTAAGAAGAAGTCTCCAGAGCCTACCGGTAAGAAGACGTTTCCAGAGTCGATGTCTGCCCACCACGAACGTCACCTCCGGTCACTGCTCGGGTGTCTAGGAAAGCCGACCGACAGCGGTCAGCTCTACAAACGTTCCTGTGAAGCCGTCACACTTGAAAGACCGCGCACCCTTTAAGGCAAGGTCCTTGCAAGGACGAGAGAGAGAGAGGGACTCGCCTCAGGCAGCCCTGGGCCTATTTAACAGGGGGTAAGACGGAGGCAAAGGTAGGGATGAACGTGGGGGGAGAACACATGAAACTTGAAGTCCCGACAATGTAAGAGATAACTCAACCAAGACTCAGGCGTGAGAGGAGAGGGAAGGACAGAGGGACGGAGCACAAGAAGCAGTGACAAACCCAAGGGTCCAGAAAAGAGGAGGAAGGCCACCTCCAAGGGTGCACGCAGAGTCGTCACTGGAACAGACGCGGGTTGTCCTAAGCACCAGCCGGAAGTTCACGAGTTACCGAGCAAAGGAAAAGTGGAGAGACAGAAACACAGCAGAAGTGCCGGGGTAATCGTGGAGCAGCACAGCCGGACTAAGTCACAGTAGCCGAGAAGGGGGCCGAACCTGCCCGCGGGAGAAACGGACTTCCGACCAAGCTACGGTGGTTGTATCTGACCACAGCCGTGCTTCCAAAGCAAAAGCTCCAGGAGATACAAGGAGGCTGGCGCCCGCCCAGAATCAGCACCGAGGAGGGAGAAGCGAGTGCAGACGGGGGACAGCCAGCAGGACTGACGGCACAGGCCTCAAGACGGACGCGCAAAGAGCGACCCCAGCTTCAGACTACACTGTGTCAGGTGCACGGGGACACTCACGAACCCCCACCGTCATGCATCGGGTCAGAACCGGTGCCAGGAAGTTCCATGAAGTAGAAACGTTATACGTACTCACTGTTCACAAGTTCAACTGAAAATTTTTAATAAAATCAAAAAGAAAAAAAAAGTCACTTCCACCTGCAAATCAAACTAATTCAGCTTACGCCACTCTTCTCTCACTTCACGAAGACCAGCGACACCTTTCTCACGGACGGGTGCGTGGAAAGCACCCAACTCCCCGCTGTGCAGGTGCCTGGCCACACGTACCTCACCTGACGTCAGACCCGCTCATCTTCCACTTCTGTGCCCCAACCTGGAAGGCTCACCGCCACCTACCTGGCTCTCCAGACCACAAACCTGGACTCCTCCCGCCCACGGGCCCAAACCCCAACCTCACCCATCCCTCCCGCATTCTCCCACCCCGGAGGGCCTGGGTGACTGGGCTGGCTGGCAGGGTGTGTGCGTGCGTGTGTGTGTGTGTTGGGGGGGGGGGGGGTTAGCTGCTGTCCTAAAACCTCTCAGGTGATTCCGTGCTGAGACCAGGCCTGGGAACCACTGCTGGGGACGTGCTGTACCCACGTGCATGGCAGTGAGGCCACATTGCTTGCCTCCCCTTTGCCCCCATCGGAGCCTTGGGGTGACCCATCCTAGGAGGCCTCCTGCAGGGTAAGAGCAAGTGGAATTCTCCTGGGAAGGCTCGAGGCGTCCCTGCACTACGGCATGTACTACGTGACCTCGTAGACACCGGCCATCCCCGATGGCAACTGTGTCACAAAAGGCAAGACGCAGCATAAAGTCGGCGACCCGTCGCGTGCTCTCAAATTTAGAATGAAGGAACAGTAACCGTGCAGAAAGTGACCTCAGAAATCATAAACCTCCTACCCTCAAGTGTTCAAGCTCTTTCATAAAGACGTAATTCCTACCCCGCCATCCTCCGTATCAAAATAGTAAGGTGATTTCTACGTTTATTTATTTTTGGGACAGAGAGAGACAGAGCATGAACGGGGGAGGGGCAGAGAGAGAGGGAGACACAGAATCGGAAACAGGCTCCAGGCTCCGAGCCATCAGCCCAGAGCCCAACGCGGGGCTTGAACTCACGGATCGCGAGATCGTGACCTGGCTGAAGTCGGACGCTCAACCGACTGCGCCACCCAGGCGCCCCAGTAAGGTGATTTTTAAAGACGGGAAGAGTCCGGGACGACAGCGGACGACCCTCACACAGACCTGCCAGAGCATCCTCCCCGCAGCGAGCTGCGGGCACAGAGCTCCGCCCCCACCGCCCCCTCCGGAGGTGCCCCGGGGGGGCCCTGCAGTCCCTCATGCGCGCATCAGCAGGTCAAGGACCCAGAAGGCAGGGTCTACAGCGGTAAGCCTGGGGACAGGGGCACGTCTCCCGTCTCTGCGGGCACAGGGATGGAGCCTCTGAGGAGAGGCGGGTGGAGGGAAGCACCTACTTGGCACAGCCGTTCAAACAGGCCTTCTGCATGGCGTCGATGGTGTACCGCAGAAATTCGTGCGCATCCTCCTGGTTCCCAAAGCGGAAATGCCGGGCAATCTCTGCGGACAGACAGGAGCATCAGACTGGCAGGCGAGAGCTCACACCTTCTCCCCCGGTTCCCCGCTGTCCCAAGGGTAAGCGGGAAGCACCTGCAAAGCGGCCAGCGAGGAAATCGAGCTCCGCGTAAAGCGCGCGTCCCATCCTCATGGCAGAGGTCCCCCCACCAAGACCTAAGAGCTTAAACGCCCCACGCTTAACAGAAGAGCCAGAGGCCACGAGACACCAGTCACCAAGGATGTGGAACCCACTGGCCAACTACTTTTCCAGGAGCGCCCACGCACAGCACGGACGGTCACAATGACGCCACACACGGCTTTCAGACCCAGGGAGGTCAGTCTGCGTCAAGTGGCTCCCGTGACGGTCACAAGAGCCCCTCCCCCCGCCCGGCCCGAACCTCCACACGCTTCAGGGCGGAGGGCAGCACGCACCCCCACGCGAAGCCCTCCCCGCTGACCCCAGCGCCACCACGTGTGCCCGAGTGCTCTTCTGGGAAGTCTTAGACCGTCGCCTCGTTCCTCATTCCTCCCCGCACCCCCTCCTCCGACCTCCCCAGCGCCCACCGCAGACGAACTCTTACTTTTCAGGTCTCGGATGAAGGAGACGGGCTTGATGGCGTTGCCGCTGTTGGCGAAGGCCTGCACAATGTGGTTCTGCATGACGCACAGCATGCAGAAGCTGCCTTGGTGACCTGCAGGGCGAGGCGGTCACCGTGAGCGGGGAGCTCCCGAGACGTCTCGCCACACGGCCCAGGGAACGGCTGGGCCACAGGGGCCCCAGATGCCCTGAAGCCAGCCCGCTGTCCACGAAGGAAGCATTTCCTCTGCTGGAGAGCATGGGGGGTCGTGACCCATCCGAAGTTGTACTTCCAGCACGTACCCCACCACCCTGAGCCGGCGCTGTTGACCTGTGTGAGGCCCTTTTCATATTGCCTGGGTGCTACTTACTAAAAGTGGGAAGTCTGACTTTCAAAACGAAGTTTAGAACACGTTTCTCCCAACTTCTAAGCTGGATCACGTGGTCCATAAACGTGAACGTTTTAGGCTCCCCCGACAACTCTTAGTTTGCTCCTCAGATGTGGGAACCTCTGCTCCCTTGGTTCTGGAAACTGCCCGCTGCCGTCTCAAGGCTTGGCGAGCTTCTTCCGTATAGACCCGGGAGGTTAAGTACAGCCAGGTCGGGGAGCCGTCCGCTCTTACACAGTCCGCGACGATGTGGCTCCGTCTCTGGGGAGCACAGGCAGCACACCATGCAGCCACAGACCGTACATCAACGGGCGGGATGTGTGCCTCGGAACTTGACCTACAGAGCAGGCAGCGGGCCAGACTGAGACCACAGGCCACGCTCCGCCAGCCCCTGCTGTGTGTGCAACTATTTGTTGCTGCTCGGCCAGCAGGCCGGACGGTGGTACGTCTTAACCGTTATTTCAAATAACGACATCTTTTAAATGCAGAGACGTACAAAGCCTATACCATTGAGTGCCAACCCGTTTTAGGGGCACCAGAAGGAAAACACTGCCGTGACAGTGACGTCTCCTCCCCTGCACTGCCCACACACCCTCATCGGAGGTCACCGCGATCCCGAACTAGGTCACAACTGTTCCCGCTTACGTAGTTATCGCGCTAATGCACGAGCGTGTGTACCCACAAACAATAAGCGTGTTTATGCTTAGCCTACGTAACCTACGCCATGCAGTGTGAACTGCGGCAGTTTTGACGTGGTTCTGGTTCCTTCACGTGGGCTGGAGTATCTGACCACAGGAAAAGACCACGGTTCACTTACATGCTTCCTGCTGACTCTGTGTCTCTGCTCCCACAAACAGTCCCGCACCTGCTTCCTTGTGTGCAACTTTCTCTAATGCATACGCCCACGACGGACCTCTGGGTCCCGGGGCAGGTGCGTCTTCAATTCTGCAGGATACCTGCTGTTCCACATACCCTATGTTACTTCTCAAACAGACCCAGCTTGTAGCACAAACCAATCATTCTCGCCTGCAACACTCCTCCTTACCCAGTTACTTAGGCCCGTCTCAGAATCGATACTGAAACGGCATGCGGCCTGCTCACCACACGCACATAAGAACTCTAGTATTGAAAAACAGAAAAGAACTTGCATTAGCAAAGACGTGCAGAAACTGGAAACCCTGTGCACTGTTGCTGAGGACGTGGAACGGCGCAGGGGCTGTGAAAACAAACAGTATGGCGCCTCCTGGAGGAATTAAAAATGGAGTTCCCGTGGGAATCAGCCATTCCACTCCAGGGTGCACACCCAAGAGGACGGGGAACGGGGTCTCGAGCGGGTATTCGCACACACCGTTCTCAGCGTTATTCACAAGCGCTAAAGCACAGAAGCCAAGTGTCCATCAACAAGGGAATGGGTAATGACGTGTGGTGCAGGTGGATACCGGAACGGTGTTCGGCTTGGAACAGAAAAGCAGACCCTGACACCTGCTACGGCGGGGACGAACCTTGGGGACGAGACGCTGGTGTAGTCAGCCAGACACGAGAGGCCCAACACCATCGGACTCTACTTCTGCGAGGGAGCCGGAGCAGGCCAGTTCACAGAGACAGAGGCAGGATGGGGGGCGCCGGGGGGAGGGGAGGTGAGGGGAGGGGGACGTGGACTCTGTCGTCATGGGCAGAGTTTCAACTTGGGACGATGGGGTTCTGGAGCCGGATGGGTGGCCGCATGGTAACATGAATGCACCTCGTGCCGCTCAGCCGTGTGCTCAGAGTGGTAAGTCTGGGGGCGCCTGGCGCTCAGTCGGTGGAGGGTGCGACTCTTGATCTCGGGGTCATGAGTCTGAGCTCCATGTGGGGGGTGGAAAAAAAATACTAAAATCGGTTTTCTGGCTAGATCCCGGTGCCGAAGCGGTCCAGCCAGCGTGTAGCAGTTCCGGCGATACTTTTCAGGATCCTTGAGGATCTCCAAACAGCACATACTCGCGGAGGAAGAGACGACAGCCCAAGCCCACTCGGGGTCACTCAGACAGCCAGTGGGGTACAGGGAAAAATACTAAAACTTCCCTTAATACTTTTACTCCAAAAAACCTTAGAAACTGAGGCTCACCAACATTCGGCAGAGCGACCCAGAGCGACGCGGGCGCCCTCCCAGGAGTGGTAACCTGAGGGAAGGGGGGCGTCCCACCACCGACAGGGCCGATCCCGGTGGCTCCCATCTCACACCCTCGCTCCCACGCGCCAGGTGTGATGGATGGGCTGCAGGGACTCATGGGTGTTTCTACGTCCCTCAATCAGTCCTAATAAGGTGGACGACGGGTGCCGCAAACAGAAACGAAGGGCAGCGGTGCAGGGAAGGACAGGACAAAACTAGGGCAGAGTAGGGTCATCACCACCACCACCACGAGATAAAAGCAAAGAAAGCCTAGTCTGGTCTTACTGGAAGTCCACCTGAAACAACCCTAATGACACCGAGGTCGCTACCGGAAATAGGGACTTATAACCAGCTACGCCTCCAGCGTGCACAGTGCCTCAGTATTTTAACTGCAGCAGCCACAGAGCCATTCCGATCCCAAGACGTTACAAAACGCTAGTTTCCACTGCGTGGCCATCTTTCACGAAATAACAAAAAAGAACACAGCTGATACCCCCGAACACATCACACAACCCAAACCTCTTACCCTACCGCTGCCCCTCTCTCGCTCCCATCTCCATGCCCCAGGTCTAGCCTGATTTCCTATTTTCCTTGCGTACCAACTAAAAAAATCATGGTTCTTTTTTAGCCTTCTCCCATGCGCGTGTACCTAAATACCGTGTCGTCTTGCTTTTCCAGCTTTATAAACAGCAATTCACGCCGTACGCGGTCTTCTGGGACTTTTTCTTCACTCTGCCTTGTGGCCTTCGGATTCACCCGCGGAGCGGGTCACTCGCGCTCCTGCACCACCGGGGGCCGCTCCGCCCCAGGCCCACCCGTGACTCCGGGATCCGTTCTGTTCACGGGCACCTGAGCTGCTGGCAGCCGTGTTTACACAGGTGTCGTGACACACGTGTCCCGGAGCTTTCCTGCAGAACTGCTGGCCGGGAGAGTATCTGGAAGAGGCCAGAGCAGACGAGCATCAGAGGCTCTCGCTCACCTCCGTGCTGCCTGACGTTCAGTGTCGTCAGGCTTCTGAATCTTCGCCCATCACAGAGCTGGGCCGTGGTACCGGTCCCGGTTGTGCTGGCGTTTCCCTGGTTCCGAGCGAGGCTGACCATCTCTCCCTGTCGTTCTGACCGCGAGCTTCCTCTTCTGTAAAATGTTGGTTCGTAATCTTCACTTAGTTTTGTGTAGGTTGTCCGTCCCTTGTTGGTCTGCATTCTTTCCACATTCTCAGCAGTGATCCTCTGCTGGCGACGCGTCCCAGGTTCTGTCTGCCTCTGGTTCGCAGCTGCCCGTTTGCCTTTTGATTTCCTTCAAGTGCTTTTTGTGAACCAAAGTTACTACTTTTAATGCATTTGAATTCGTCATTTGTGGTAGTTAGTGCTGAGTCCTGTTTAAGAAATCTCCTATCCTGGGGCCCCCCGGGGATGCTCAGGAGGTTAACCGTCTTTGACTCAGGTCACGATCGCAGTCTGTTGAGCTCCAGCCCCGTGTCGGGCTCTGTGCTGGCAGCTCAGAGCGTGGAGACTGCTTCAGATTCTGTGTCTTCCTCTCTCTCTGCCCCTCCCCTGCTCATGCTCTGTCTCTCAATAATAAGAAATAAATGTTAAAAAAAAAAAAAAAAAAGAAAGAAAAAAAGAAAAAGAAATCTCCCCTCCTAAGGACAGAAAGATAGTTGCCAACATTTGCTATCAGAGTGTGATGTTTGCTTCTGATACTAAATTTTGAACGCATCTTTTGTGCACGGCTACGCTGTGAAATGGGGGTCCTATCTCACTCTTCCCAGATGTAAGCCGGAGTTCTTTCAAAGTTCCATTTGTTTAAAATGCGAGACACGCGAAAGAGCAGTCTGTAGATAACACACTTCCAGATACGTGCAGGTCTGTTTCTGGGCTCTGCTCCACCGCACTGGTCAGTCTGTCCCTCCCTGACCCAATACTCTCGACATGTTAGTTTCTCTACGTGACAAGACTTCCTAGCTGGTAGGGCATCTCTCTCCCTATAGCCTCCTTCAGAAGCGTCCTGGTGATACTGAGTCCTTTGCTTTGCTTTTTCGTATACATTCTAGAATCAGCCGGAGTTACGTTAACGAGTCTACGTTAATCTGGGGAGAGCCAACATTTTTATAACAGCGAGGCTTCCTTCTGAAGGCAGCTATCTTCGTGTATGTAGGTTCTTGTGTAACGTCCTTCAGTGAGAGATCTCTTGGTAAATTTAAGTCTAGACACTTTATCATTTTTGTTGCTACTACAAACTTTTTTCATAGTAGCAACTTTTTTTTAAAACTCGTTTGGTGCGGAGAAATTCAACTAACTTTTCGTACACTGACCTATTTAGTTACATTGCCAAATTTCTAATTTATAGTTTCTTTCGCTTTTCAATGCAGGAAATGTTTCTTTTTCTTCCTTCCTTTCTTTTTTTTTAAGTAACGTTATTTTCAAGTTAGCAATGGTGTGTTCTCTCCTTTTTCCCCCCACGTCACCACTCTGGCTGAGACAGACACATCTTCCACACAAGGGGTGACAGGGACCCTTATTTCACGCTGTGTTTTGAAGAGTATATGCTTCCAATATTTTCCTATTGAGAACTTTGGGGGGGTTTTTTGTTTGTTTTTGTTTTTTCGTGTTTGGTAGATAACGATTTATCAAGAAAAGGAAACTCCTTCCTATTGCTGCTTTACTAAAAGCTCATCATCAATTTCTTTTTTGGGCATCTATTTGCAGGTGACCGTTCCCTTTTCATCTGCTGATACAATAATTAAGGAAGCAAAATTAGCAGTCACTTACACGGCACTAAACTGTGGCCCGAGTACCATTCTGAGCATCTCCCGTGATTCATTCAAACTTCCCAACAACACTATCAGGATCGTGGCATTTAACAGTCACACTTGGGAGATTTTCACATTTTAGAACATCCTTGCAGGGCTACGATGAACACAAACTGCTCACAGTGTTTAAAAGACTATGGAGTTTGGGGGCACCTGGGTGGCTCAGTCGGTTGAGCGTCCGACTGCGGCTCAGGTCATGATCTCACAGTTGGTGAGTTTGAGCCCCACGTCGGGCTCTGTGCTGACAACTCGGAGCCTGGAGCCCACTTCGGATTCTGTGTCTCCCTCTCTCTCTGCCCCTCCCCCACTCATGCTCTGTCTCTCTCTGTCTCAGAAATAAATAAACATTTAAAAAAAATTAAAAAAAAAAAAAAAGACTGGAGTTTGGTAGTAGTTTGTCTAGAAGTTTCTTAACTACATTCGTGAATAAGATGGGGCTGTAATTTTTCTTATGTTGTACTCGTTTAATTTCATTCCCCAAGTTATTAGAACCTCATAGAACGAGCTGGGGGGGTTTTTCTCTCCTTCTCTATTCTCTGGAAGAGTTTGTGAAGCATTGCAACGAACTGTTTCTCAAAATTTTCATGAAGCTCACCCATAAGTCGTCTCAGCCTGGTATTTTCTTCATGGGAAGATCTAATCCACCCTTGTAATTTCTTTATTAGTTACAAGGCTTTTAAAACTTTGTACTTGCTTCCATTTTGGTAAGTTACATTTTATTTCACCCCTCTTTTACCCATTTTAAATTTCTACTTGGGGGCATGTTTTAATAATGCGCATAAAACGCTGACTGGTACGATAACGGATGTATAAAGTCGTTGAATATACATAGTTTGCATATATTTTTTGAAAACCCCTCTCTCCGTTTAGGTACTCCTTTTTACAAGAGTTCGGGACCGGGGCGCCTGGGTGGCGCAGTCGGTTAAGCGTCCGACTTCAGCCAGGTCACGATCTCGCGGTCTGTGAGTTTGAGCCCCGCGTCGGGCTCTGGGCTGATGGCTCAGAGCCTGGAGCCTGTTTCCGATTCTGTGTCTCCCTCTCTCTCTGCCCCTCGCCCGTTCATGCTCTGTCTCTCTCTGTCCCAAAAATAAATAAACGTTGAAAAAACAAGAGTTCGGGACCAACGCTCTACCTGAGACTGGCTTCCACAGCCCGTCCTGCTGCGGACACACGACAAATTTAGGTTTTGTCAGTTACTACGTCACGAACGTCACTCCGAAATCTGACCCGGGGCTGAGGGCTGGCAGGCCGTGAGCACATGGGTTTGTCTCTGCGGGACACCGTCCGGTCCCCCACGACCCCCAGGCCGCCCCCTCCCACTCACAGTTGCGAGCATGCTCCTTGGAGAGCAGGTAGTTGGCCAGAGGCGGGGTGTAGGTCAAGCACTGTACGGTCGAGTTCAAGAAGCAGGTGTTGCCGAGGTTGTGGAGACCCGCTCCCACGCGGTAAACCCGCTCCCACTTTAGAGACAGCCGCTCGGTGGGGAAGAGCACTTTCTGTGGGGCGGGGACACCGTCCCCACAGCTCTCGTACGCATGCTCGCTGCCTGTGAGAGAAGGGACGAGAGAAGAAAAAAGGGCCTGAGTCCACGCACAGATGGACCACAAGAGGCACACTCGGCCTGCACGTGGCCAAAACACGGCGTCAAAGGCTAACTGGTGTTCCCGCCCACCGGGAGTTACTAGAAAGGCCAGGAGAAAACCCGGTCATCCCACGGTCCTCGCAGACTGCACAGGCCTGGAATTCGAGGAGCCCCCCACGGATGGGAAGGCAAGACTCAGAGAACGAATGGCTGGAGGGGCCAGGCCCCCGCATGCTGAGGCCCAGCCTGCTTCTCTCGTTCCCAAGCCCCGCTTCTGATGAAATGCACACGAGTTCCAAGGCCTCTCTAAGGTCACGGATCTTTCTGACCAACCCCGTGTCGTTATTTCTACGACTGAAAGCCACCGACCCCACTGAAACCTCCCAACTCTCTGACCACGTCTCTATTTTTGTTCCTCCCACTCGGCCAACGCTCCGTCCATCCGCGTGGTCAACACACATCGAGACCCCTCCTGCCGGCCAACCGTGCGTCTGTACCCTGTCTCCTGGCCTGAGGCTCATCTCCACTCCTGTGGCGACCGGCTCCCTCCGTTTTAGGGTTCAGCAAGACATATTTGCTCTTTAAGGACTCCAGCTGATAGGAGAAACTCTTGCTGGCTGGCTCGAACTCAATCTTCTGTAGAAGGACTTTCTTGGCAGAGGAGGCCAGGAGCTTCCCCAGCTCTCCATCGTCAGCCGAGTCCTTGCGGCCGGGTTTCAGGGCTTCCTTCAACTTATCGACTATTGGCATGGTGCATCACCGTGGGGACACGAAGGGACACAGAGCGACGAGTACCCAGGTCCCAGGAACAAAGCATCACTTCTCTGCAATCCCCTCTTTGGTCTTTACGGATGCTAGCCACCACACGAGCTTCTCTGGATCGGCTGCCAACCCTACAAAGGAAGCGTAAAACATGGAAACGCGTCACCAACCGCTTGGACGGAGCAGAGGCCGTGCTTCTCTCAGAAAGACCAGGTACTTCCACGAACAGCACCGAACACACAGTGACAGCACCGGCGCCAGGCGAGCCGCGCAACATGCATTTGCTCCACACGGGACCGTGCGCCTCCGGCCGGCCACACCCACCTTCAAAAGGTGACCTCATGGTCCTAGTGTGTGCTCACAAACAGGGAAACGCGAACTCTCACAGGACACCCTGGTTGCACACACAAATCCATGTAATAAAAGAAGTAAATGGGGCAACTGGGGGGGCTCAGTCAGTTGAGCGTCCAACTTCGGCTCATGTCATGATCTCGCGGTTCATGGATTCGAGCCCCGCGTCGGGCTCCGTGCTGACAGCTTGGAGCCCGGAGCCTGCTTCCGATTCTGTGTCTCCCTGTCTCTCTGTCCCTCTCTTATTCATGCTCTGCCTCTGTCTCTCAGAGATAGAGAAATAAACGTTAAAAAAATTAAAAAAAAAAGAAAACATGACTTCAGAGGCACCTGGGTGGCTCAGTCAGTTAAGTGTCTGACTTGGGCTCAGGTCATGATCTCGCGGTTCGTATGTCCGAGCCCCGCACTGGACTCTGTGCTGGCAGCTCAGAGCCTGCTTGGGATTCTCTCTCTGCTCCTCCCCCTCTCATGCTGTCTCTGTCTCCCTCAAAATAAATAAATACACTTTTCAAAAGATGAAATAAATAAAATCTTTGAAAAAACAAAATTTCTGCAAACAAACCCAGAAACTTAAGGGGCGCCTGGGGGGCTCAGTCGATTGAGCGTCTGACTTCGGCTCAGATAATGATCTCACGGTTCAAGGGTTCGAGCCCCGCGTGGGGCTCTGTGCTGACAGCTCAGAGCCTGGAGCCCGCGTGGGATTCTGTGTCTCTCTCTCTGTCCCTCCCCCACTTGTGCTCTGTATCTCTATCTCACAAAAATAAATAAACGTAAAAAAAAACTTTTTTTTTTGCGAGAGTGCATACAGGCACACGTGCGCGTGAGCAGGGGAGGGCCAGAGAAAAGGAAAGGAAGAATCCCTAGCAGGTTCCAGACTCAGCGCAGAGCCTGACACAGGTCTCGAACCCACAACCGTCAGATCATGACCTTGGGCTGAAATCAAGAGTGGGATGCTTAACCAACTGAGCCACCCAGGCACCCTGGAACTTATCTTTAAAAGACCAAGCACAAATTCTTTGATTTGAGGAAACAAAAGAACCTTTCCTGAGAGTTGTTCATCAAAGTGTTCCCACCACCTGAACAAGCTGACAACTTGGAGAAATGAGAAGATGCACAGAAACCTCTGCTGCCTTACCTGGGACGTCTGAACTTGGGCGTGCTGCTGTTGCAGCATGGGGTCAGGTTCTGGGCCAGAGTGGGCAGGTGCGGTGCGCGACCCTCAGATGCCCGAGCTCCTCGCCTTTGGCTTGGTAAATCACCAAAGCTGCGGGTCTGTCATTCAGAATCTGTGGGGTGAACAGAGCACCACGTGAGGCACGGTCCCCTCGGCCCCACTGCATGGACACAGAGCAGGGAGGCCGACGATCTCCCTGGAAGAGTCGGTGTTAAGGCTGAAGGAGTGTCGACTGCTGGATTTAGGAAGATTCTGGAGAAGAACTGAACGCACCAGCTACAAACTCTGCAATGTGCACACTAGGGAAGCACTGCCCTCTGCCCTGCGTCCTAACCTTCAAACCAGGGACAAGTCCAGGGGCCAAAAATCTCCAGGGGGCTCTGGTCCAAAATGCTTTCCAGAAAGTGAGAGGTAATAATCACCTCCAACTTCCACGTTTCATAGACCAGTAGAATAAAGAAAAAAAAAATTGAAGGAGCAGAGAGAATCGCCACATTTTCACTTTGTTAAGTGCAGATTTCTTGTCCTTGCCATCCACGATCACTGTGATTACATAAAATTAAGGTACTGAAAATTTTTTTGCGGTGAGAACGTTCGAATGTATACAACGTGGGGGCGCCTGGGTGGCTCAGGCGGTTAAGCGTCTGACTTTGGCTCAGGTCATGATCTCACAGCTCGGGAGTTCGAGCCCCGCATCAGGTTCTGTGTCAGCAGACTTCGCTTTGGATCCTCTGTCCTCCTCTCTCTCTGCCCCTCCACTGCTCTGTCTCTCAAAAATAAACATACATTTTTTATCCTTCTAAATATATGCAATGTGGAGAAATCAACATAGGGACCACCACGTTCCCTTTATTCATATCAGTAGTTATTATGTGGGCCCAATCCATATTCCTCTCCCGTCCCCACGTTACCGACAGCAAATTTCAGATACATTGTATTTCATATCCATAAATAAAAGCATACCCACACCAAAATAAAGAGGAAGCATAATAAACATGATCTCAGAAGAAAAGCCAATGTGGAAACTGAAGATCCCGGTCTTACAAAAGTCGCCCCATAATATCCCTGTTTTAATCAAGACTCATACCTCACTGTGCACAGGTGAGGACATAGACAGACACGGGCCCAAGGGCAAATGTTGGGGGACCAAACAGCGAGGGGACGAACAGAACTCGGGAGATATAACCCGATTTATTTCAAGAGAAGTAATTTCTTTTTTTTTTTTTTTTTTAATGTTTTAACGTTTATTTATTTTTGAGACAGAGAGAGACAGAGCATGAACGGGGGAGAGTCAGAGAGAGAGGGAGACACAGAATCGGAAACAGGCTCCAGGCTCCGAGCCATCAGCCCAGAGCCTGACGCGGGGCTCGAACTCCCGGACCGCGAGATCGTGACCTGGCTGAAGTCGGACGCTCAACCGACTGCGCCACCCAGGCGCCCCAAGAGAAGTAATTTCAAGAACCCCTATCCCACCGCCCACTCCTCACTGTGGAAGTCAGAGATTTTTGAACAAACATCATTTTTCAACTTCTGACCAAGATCGACCTCTGTGTCACCGATGCCGTCCAAAACATCAATAACCAAAAAGTTATTTCCCTCTGAGGTGCAGGAACCCAGAGAAAAACGTCCTTGCAATCACCAGCAAGCCCTCTGATGTGCGCATCTGACAACCTGCTCTTCCAAAGTCGGGAAGGATGCTCCCTCCATTCCGCGTCGCTTATGGTCCAGAACAGCTCGGGCTCCTGGGTGCCTAGTCCCACTTCGGAGAGCAGCCGGACACAGCTGCCTCATATTCCCTCTCCCTCCGCCCTGTAAATTCACTTTTCCAGGATGAAATGCACTCAAGACTCACAGGGTCAACCACGTGCTGGTGGGGGAGGAGCCCCAGATGGACAGAGCCCTGGCCTCCCTGGGGCACCTTCACAGGGGGCCTCCGGGCTCTTCTGCAGAGGCGAGCAGAGCCTCCCTCTCCTTGGAGGCCGGATTCTCAGCAATCGCTTACAGAGAGCAGGCTGGACGCTTTCCTCTCTCATCGGTCTCTGTTTTAGAATGCTACTCGGTCTGGCTCCTATAACCCCGGGGGAGACTCGACACAACCCACTAAAACGGGTATTTTAACCACCCTCCTCCCACCTTGTCCTCACCCACTCGCATCCACCTTGACCATGACCCTGAGGAAGGTTACCTTCTCCAGGGGTAAGTCTTTCCCACGTTTTTCACTAAAAGGAAAAAAATGAGATTGCAGCACTGTTGCCAAACGGAACAGGCTCCTCCAGATTTTGACTTAAGCCATTTCAGAGAGTCTGGTTTCTGCATAAATGATGCTTCCGTGGGTAACGACCCTGTCCACGACCGACACAGGCAGTTGCCTCCTCGGACCCCCCGGAGCTCCTGGCTGGGGCAGGCTCTCCCCTCCATCACAGGTCAGGGTTCCCCGGGAACAGCAAAGAGGAAGCCTCCCGGACCCTTCCTGTGGAGCCCCCCGAACCCCGCGCGGACGACGCGCCCCTGACCCTCCCCGGGGTCCCCGAAGCCCCTCGCCCCTGACCCTCCCCG